TTACTGTAATCGGTGGTTACAGCATTTACAAATGGGAACGCCACCATCGTGGACGAACGTGTCTTGTGACGGGACTATCAGAAATGCCATTATGTCTTCAGAACACCACACTATCATGTTTCATCCAAATCCAAACATACGACACAAGTGCATTTATCACACACAAAGATACTAAATCTTTTCAAAATTGGTCTGTATGTATCCGGTTTGGATGTTTAGTTGGTCATCACCATCACCGTGGATTACATACCAATGGTCGTGTATTACATACCAATGGTCGTGGATTACATACCACTGGTCGTGTATTACATACCAATGGTCGTGGACTACATACAAATGCCCGTGCATTACATACCAATGGTCGTGTATTACATACCAATGGTCGTGGATTACATACCAATGGTCGTGTATTACATACCAATGGTCGTGGACTACATACAAATGCCCGTGGATTACATACCAATGGTCTTGTATTACATACCAGTGGTCGTGTATTACATACCAATGGTCGTGGATTACATACCAATGGTCGTGTATTACATACCAATGGTCGTAGATTACATACCAGTGGTCGTAGATTACATACCAATGGTCGTGTATTACATACCAATGGTCGTGTATTACATACCAATGGTCGTGTATTACATACCAATGGTCGTGTATTACATACCAATGCCCGTGGATTACATACTAATAGTAATGGATTTCATACTAATGGTCGTGGATTACATACCAATGGTCGTGAAGTACACACTGGCGACGTGTAGGGCATGTATTACTCACAGGCTTTAAACCCACATCAAGTCAACAGCTTGTGATGTAACAACATCACATTAAATCATTATGACATTTTAAACTGAACTGACATACAAAATTAAGTATACAGTTTGTGAGTTGTAATTACCATCCACGTAAATATTGGAAATGTGTTTTATTTAGTCACAAACATTCTCAAGTATCCCAGATATCCTTTAGAGTGATGGCCTATATACCATTTGACGTGTCTGATTATAGAACGGCTGTACAAGATCATCAGTGAAAGTACACAGAACAGTGAAGTTATCAAAGTAGGGTGAGTGAGTGAGCATGTCTTTACGCCGCTTTTATCAATATTCCAGCAATATCACCACGGGGGGCACCAGAAAACGGCTTCACACATTGTACCCATGTGAGGAATCGAACCCGACTCTTTGGCGTGACGAGCGAACACTTTAACCACTAGGCTACCCCACCGCCCCAATCCAAGTAGATAAGCCACACTGCAGTCAACATGTACCAACAGATTAGTCTGTTAGTCTGCAATACGGACAAACCAAGCGGACAAACAGGTCAGACAGGTTTTATTCAGTAGTTAAGGCCCAGTGACCAAGGGTACAAATGAAGTTGTTCAATTACAACTATTGCTCACGTGACCTGAAATTATTGTTTTACATGTGATTTACGGATGGACATCAAAGGTGTAGATAACTATTATACGAACACACTTGTCCGAGCAGATGATATATATGGCATTTGACGTCTCAGGAGTAAATAACATCAACAGTTGACTTTGTAGATAATACAAACACACTTGTCCAGCAGATTATGGCATTTGACGTCTCAGAGTAAATAACACACTTGACTTCCGGAGCAGATGTTTTACATGATTTACGGATGGACATCAAAGGTGTAGATAACTATTATACGAACACACTTGTCCGAGCAGATGATGTATGGCATTTGACGTCTCAGAGTAAATAACGTATACAGCAGTTGACTTGCCGGAGTAGATTTCTCAGAGTAAATAACGTATACAGCAGTTGACTTGCCGGAGTAGATTTCTCAGAGTAAATAACGTATACAGCAGTTGACTTGCCGGAGTGGATACCTATTGTACCAACACACTTGTCCCAGCAGATGATTATCTATCGTATTAACACGTTGACCGGTCATCCTCTTGTGCAGTACTCCTGCCCGCCAGGTGAGTCTGAAACACAACAATGTGGAGTCATTACTCCCCTGCCTGCAATTCAGATTAATTCCCACACTACACTACAGGAGATACACGACATCACAGCTGAACGAGTTGAGATGAGTAGGGCTTTACGTCGTTCATCCTCTTGTGCATCGGCAACATTTTAGCCATATTGTGACGAGATCAAGTCTGCATTCCTACACATTTTTAAATACAAAAGTTTTATTTTAAACACATTTACATTAATTACGTTATCAAACAGCAAATATCATAAAAAATAAGCAATTCGTCATTCACATTGACGAACAAAATTAATTTGGATCTATATGCATCAACCAATCAGTATGGCGATATTCGTGTCTGTGTGAATATATCGATTTGAACGTATTAACAGAAACAAATATAATGTATGTTATATTTGGGATTACATTTTGTCAGTAAAGTACAGATTCTAGTACTTTTTGGGTTGAGTCCCATCCGGGATTCGAACCCACACCCTCAGAGTCAGGCACCTAATCGCCAGCACACAAAGCCAGACGCCTAGACCGCTCAGCCACCGCGGCTTCCACTAAAGTAGGTGCCTGACTCTGAGGGTGTGGGTTCGAATCCCGGATGGGACTCAACCCAAAAGTACTAGAATCTGTACTTTACTGAGAAAGTATAATCCCAAATATAACATACGTTACATTTGACCACTTTGTAAAAATGGCATTGTGTATTTCAGAAACATATAGGTATGGATATATTGATGTGAACGTAACAGTTTGAATGTATCATCATGAACTTATTGGTATGACAGTATATGTATGAATCTATGGATGTGAGCATATGGCGCAGCTCTCTTCGGTATTTCCGTCGTCCTTATGTCATGTGGTTCCAGACATTCACTGTTTTAATGACACCAGGGAGCAGGATGTGGTGAAGACAAGGAAAGGAACGAACTCTGTGGAAATCCTGAACTCGGAGGCCTTCCACATTACACATGTTCTTTGTTTGAATCAACGAGCAGGATACCATGGCAACAAGCACTTGATATGTTTGGTGTTCGTTGTGTCTGTAGTCCTATTCAATCGTTAATGAACCCAACGAGCAGGATACCATGGTAACAAGCACTTGATATGTTTGGTGTTCGTTGTGTCTGTAGTCCTATTCAATCGTTAATGAACCCAACGAGCAGGATACCATGGCAACAAGCACTTGATATGTTTGGTGTTCGTTGTGTCTGTAGTCCTATTCAATCGTTAATGAACCCAACGAGCAGGATACCATGGTAACAAGCACTTGATATGTTTGGTGTTCGTTGTGTCTGTAGTCCTATTCAATCGTTAATGAACCCAACGAGCAGGATACCATGGCAACAAGCACTTGATATGTTTGGTGTTCGTTGTGTCTGTAGTCCCTATTCAATCGTTAATGAACCCAACGAGCAGGATACCATGGTAACAAGCACTTGATATGTTTGGTGTTCGTTGTGTCTGTAGTCCTATTCAATCGTTAATGAACCCAACGAGCAGGATACCATGGCAACAAGCACTTGATATGTTTGGTGTTCGTTGTGTCTGTAGTCCTATTCAATCGTTAATGAACCCAACGAGCAGGATACCATGGTAACAAGCACTTGATATGTTTGGTGTTCGTTGTGTCTGTAGTCCTATTCAATCGTTAATGAACCCAACGAGCAGGATACCATGGCAACAAGCACTTGATATGTTTGGTGTTCGTTGTGTCTGTAGTCCTATTCAATCGTTAATGAACCCAACGAGCAGGATACCATGGCAACAAGCAAAGAATGACAATCTGGGAGAATTCCTGAATGCAATTAGACATATTTGAAGTTTCCAAAAAACACACGTTCTTTGGTTGACGTCAATATACATGGCTGGTCATACAAGCTGATATAGTTGATGATGTTTGTAGTCTTTATGGATGATCAACTTCTTTATTGTACAATATGCTTGAAAACGGTATAAGTATCTTTACCGAATCGTCGCCATTGCACAATAAAGAAGCTGATCATCCATAAAATCATGTCATGCATATTGCTTAATTCTAGAATACCTCTCAAAGTGTTCAGTTGTCATATCACAGCCATTATCGGCGTTCCTTCATATTTTCCCATGAAGACAGTTCGATCTATCCTTAAGTGAAATCAGACCTCAGAGATGCAAAAATTAATTATGAACCTATGATCCAATATCCCATACGTGCTTCCAAGTGATTCTCCTCAGGTATTGTTGGTCGGTTTACAAATATTGCAGTGATCATAAAATGAGGCACGGTTTGATATCTTTAATATGAATGAATGTGTTTGAAGTAGACTTGAACGCCAAATCCATAACATGTGACACCCATTCACATGTCGACCTATGGATATGTGTTCTCATTTTCAGCCAAACAAAAGAAATATCAAAGTCACTCCTGAAACCATTCAGCTGACTGTAACGGCAAAGTGTTCCTTCATGAATATTACCTTTAGAAATCATGGGTCGAATCCTGTTGATGAAGACGCATTCGTGGTGGACCGCCCCGTGCCCTGCTGCTAATTTGCTGCCCACGTCAAAAGGGCCATGTAGAGAGATCAGTGTTGTCAGAGGCTGGCCAGTTCACCTTGACGGGAACAGGAGTGTTCGGATCGCTGTATACATATTTGAAACAGTATCATATTTTTTGTATCATTTAAAGTCAGTGAGCGACAATGTTTCTTGACACATCAGAAAAAACGGCTGGGGTCTACAAAATTGGGCTTCGGAGACATTGTACATGTGTGGAATAGGAACTGTTTCTCCGCTTGACGGGCGAACACTTGGCAAGCTCACCATCCCTACATCATTATGGGCGCCAATGATATTTTTTTCAGGGTTAACAGGTCTCAATGAGAACGTGATTTCTGAGAATACGTTTAATCTGACAAGAAATGTACATATACATGGACAACATAAGACCGAGTGAGGGATCTTTCACTCACTCACTCATCTGTGTAGATTCCATGGCTCGATATACCACTTACTTCTCTCCAACTCACTCTATCACTCACTCACTCACTCACTCACCCTGACTTGGCAAAGTTTGGATCGCTGTATACAGATAAGAAAACTTCAGGAAATCATGATTATATGAAAAAACATTTTCTTAAGTTAAAGAGGGGTGAATCAGTAAAGGTTTGTGTCATTTAAGGTGTATTTCACTCGCTCGTTCGTTCACTCACCCGGACTTGGCAAAGTTGGTCCAGTAGGTCATGATGGTCCTGCTGAGTTCCATCTCCTCCTCTGTACATCCCAGAGACTTTTCCAGAACCCAACCAAACACAAAGTCAAGCTCATACCAGTGGGCTGCTCCTATCCACTGTGGATACGGACTAATTGATAGTCGGTGATTAAAACTGTACACGTAGGTAGGGTTAGCAGGAGTGTACAATCTGTCAAACTCAATATGAGGACATTTGAAATCCCTATCTGAAGTCATGCGAGTCAAGACATCAAAGTAGTGGCTGTCCTTTAAAGGAACTTTCTGACTTTCATAAAACAGGCGAAGAGCCTCTTCATATCCTTTACCACCAACAAAGTCATAGGAAAGAAGACTTTCATATTCTGGCTGACTTAAAATCAGTGTTTCGGGTAATCTGGACACGTTTCTCATTTGCTTCAACGCCATTGCCAAAAACAGAGTATTCTCGTCTCCTGTAAACCCATGCAATACACTGGTCTGCTTGATGGATCCGCTGGACAGAAGACTTTCGGGGTCATCAGGAAGGAAGTACCCATCCACTACTGGAATAAATGCTTCCATTACATCAAACAAACCACTAAGCTGAAGGTCTGTCATAGTTTGAGCATCTGCTTTCTTCAAGCACTCGTAGATGTCTGCGTCAGTTGAAGATGGACATTCAAGGTGATCAGCAATCTTCTTTATTCTCACTGTTGCTGTTTTAGGTATGGTGTATGCCCAAGGGCTATTGGGGGCCCCACTCTGAATGATGACTCTGTCAAACAAGTCACGTGACAGTGGTGACACCAGGTGGTGACTCACGCTGACGCCTCCAGCACTTTCTCCAAATATGGTGACTCGGGATGGATCTCCACCAAAGTTTGCAATATTGTCTTTCACCCACTGTAAGGCCAGTCGTTGGTCCATCAAGCCCATGTTTCCAGGGATGGTGTCTGGCCCCAGATAGCCGAACCCTAATGACCCCACTCTGTAATTCATTGAAACAACGATGACGTCATTCTCTGCTGCAATGTATTTTCCTTCATACAGTGGCATTCGTGTAGATCCACTAAAAAACCCTCCGCCATAGATCCAGACCATTACTGCCAGATTGCCGCCATTGTCAGACGGTGCCCACACTGTAAGATGAAGGCAGTCTTCACTGTAATCTTCGGGTATTTGTTTGTGAGGCTCATCTGTGTCAAGAGCATCTTTAATTTGGAAGCAAGATGGCGTCGGTTTCTGTGCATCTCTAACTTCCGGTCCCCATGATTCTGAACGTTGTGGGTATTTGAAGCGGAGATCGCCTACAGGAGGCTTGGCGTATGGGATTCCATAGAATACGTCAAGGGACTTGCCCAACACTGACAGGCGTTGCCCAAGGACTGGGCCATCTTGAGTTGACACTTTCTGTGTTTTGGCAATATGCAACTCAAGCAACAACGTCACAAGAGTTGCAAATGCAAGTCTCTTTCCTGTCCACATTCTGAAAAAGCGTAATGATTCTTAGGATACGTTTAACAGAGTTTCTTTACACAGGAAATGTGATACTATTCTAAGATGGTAGAATACACGACGATATGTCATGTGCATAATGCAGAGACAGACTATTGTTCTTGTTTCTCATAATGGTCACTTGAGGACAGTATTGTGAACCATTCTCTGACCCTTATCATCCTTTATATTTGGCATAGCTTGGATGTTTGACCACTGACCGACGAATGAATACTTTGTATTACTGACTTTGTTGCTAACTCTATCACTCTGCTGTGTATATCAATTGTACAGCATCCGTGAAACCCGTTAGAACGGGACCGCCTAAATATAGCTGGAATATTGTTGTTTCAATTGAAAACCAAGTTAATTTTAGAATGTGATTGCGAAGATGGCCTATATAACACGACATATCTGAATTATTTCGCTTTCAGATTTGTGGGTTAACGTGTTTCAACTTTGAAATGGAGACTACACAATAAGACATAATTTTGTCATTGATGCCTCTATGGTTGGAAATTTCGTTGAAACTTTTGACTATGACTCATAAACGAGCAGTAAGATATCTGTCGTTAAGATTTATATATATATGTATATGTCAGCAGATATATAACTGTAAGTCCTTGACGTGGACATTATGGATGCTAATATGATGACAATGAGAAGGGGTCTTATTACTTCAGATATTTTATACTGAAGGCTGCGTAACAAGGTGAAGGTATAAAAGGAGCATATAGACATACAGGGAGGCCAGGTGTGGTGACGTGGTAGACATGACGTCAAGGCTGCGTGACAAGGTGATGGTATAAAAGGAGTATATAGACATACAGGGAGGCCAGGTGTGGTGACGTGGTAGACATGACGTCACAGTATGTAAAAGAGACGCCTCAGCGGTCAAGAATGTCAAAAGGTTGCTTAATGTTACTGCATATGTTGTATTTGTTTGCCAAGTATTGTGAGTGAGTGAGTTGGATTTTACGCCGCTTTTAGCAATATTTCAGCAATATCACGGCGGGGGACACCAGAAATGGGTTTTACACATTGTACCCATGTGGGGAATCGAACCCGTGTCTTCGGCGTGACGAGCGAAAGCTTTAACCACCAGGCTAACCCTAGGCTAACACTCCAACCGTCAAGTATTGTAGCCTAATGGTTGAGGCGTTCGCCCGTAACGCCGAAGACCGGGGAAGCCCATTTCTGGTGTTCCCCGCCGTGATGTTGCTGGAATATTTCTAAAAGCGGCGTAATACTAAATTCACTCACACACTCACTCACTCAAGTATTTCGCCTGAAATATTTTCTGCAAATATTGCATACACATGTATTATCGACAACAATTTTCACATGTATAGTACTCCAAATCCAAGCCCAAGGCTTGGTTAAGTACCTGGTCAATAAATGTGTCCTCGAATTCCATTCTTGAGCCTCTTCTGGAGTTCATACTGCCAGTGAGGTGCGATTACGTTCACGGTCACATCATCATACGACCCGTGAAGGTCCGGGATAGAATGAACCTTCAGTAACCCATGCTTGTCGTAAGAGGTGACTAACGGGATCGGGTGGTCAGGCTCGTTGACTTGGTTGACACATGTCATCGGTTTCCAATTGCACGGATCGATGCTTATGGTGTTGATCACTGGGTTGTCTGGTCCAGACTCGATTATTTACAGACCACCGCCATATAGTTGGAATATTGCTGAGTGTGGCGTAAAAGTAAACTCACTCACTTACACGATACTGGATTATATCTGCTGGCGTTTCGATACTGATTAATATCTGCCAGTTTTTTTAATCGCAGACTCAGCGTTAAGACAGCACAGAATACGCAATATTGCAAAACTACAATAAAAATTGCTAACTCATAACTGAGCCTCTGCTGGAGTTCACACTGCCAGTTAGGCGCCATAACGTTCACAGTCACATCATCATCCTGTCCTTACTGGTACCCATATACTACTGAATGAACAGAGGTACATCCGACCATGTTGTCCTTACTGGTACCCATATACTACTGAATGAACAGAGGTACATCCGACCATGTTGTCCATAGTAGTACCCATTTACTGCTGAATGAACAGAGGTACATCCGACTATGTTGTCATTACTGGTGCCCATATACTACTGAATGAACAGAGGTACATCCGACCATGTTGTCCTTACTGGTACCCATATACTACTGAATGAACAGAGGTACATCCGACCATGTTGTCCTTACTGGTAATCATATACTACTGAATGAAGAAGCGTACATCCCACCATGTTGTCATTACTAGTACCCATATACTACTGAATGAACAGACGTACATCCGACCATGTTGTCATTACTGGTACCCATATACTACTGAATGAACAGACGTACATCCGACCACGTTGTCATTACTAGTACCCATATACTACTGAATGAACAGAGGTACATCCGATTATATTGTCCTTACTGGTACCCATATACTACTGAATTAACAGAGGTACATCCGACCATGTTGTCATTACTAGTACCCATATACTACTGAATGAACAGAGGTACATCCGATTATATTGTCCTTACTGGTACCCATATACTACTGAATGAACAGAGGTACATACGACCATGTTGTCATTACTAGTACCCATATACTACTGAATGAACAGAGGTACATCCGATTATATTGTCCTTACTGGTACCCATATACTACTGAATTAACAGAGGTACATCCGACCATGTTGTCATTACTAGTACCCATATACTACTGAATGAACAGAGGTACATCCGATTATATTGTCCTTACTGGTACCCATATACTACTGAATGAACAGAGGTACATACGACCATGTTGTCATTACTAGTACCCATATACTACTGAATGAACAGAGGTACATACGACCATGTTGTCATTACTATTATCCATATACTACTGAATGAACAGAGGTACATCCGATTATATTGTCCTTTCTGGTACCCATATACTACTGAATGAACAGAGGTACATACGACCATGTTGTCATTACTAGTACCCATATACTACTGAATGAACAGAGATACATCCGATTATATTGTCCTTACTGGTACCCATATACTACTGAATGAACAGAGGTACATCCGACAATGTTGTCATCACTAGTACCCATGTACTACTGTATGAACAGAGGTACAGCAGATTATATTGTCCTTACTGGTACCCATATACTACTGAATGAACAGAGGTACATCCGACCATGTTGTCATTAATAGTACCCATATACTACTGAATGAACAGAGGTACATCCGATTATGTTGTCATCACTGGTACCCATATACTACTGAATTAACAGAGGTACATCCGACCATGTTGTCATTACTAGTACCCTTATAACTACTGAATGAACACAGGTACATCCGACCATGTTGTCATTACTGGTTCCCATATACTACTGAATGAACAGAGGTACATCCGACCATGTTGTCCTTACTGGTACCCATATACTACTGAATGAAAAGAGGTACATCCGACCATGTTGTCCTTACTGGTACCCATATACTACTGAATGAACAGAGGTACATCAGATTATGTTGTCCTTACTAGTACCCATATACTAATGAATGAACAGAGGTACATCCGACCATGTTGTCATTACTAGTACCCATATACTACTCAATGAACAGAGGTACATCCGACTATGTTGTAATTACTGGTACCCATATACTACTGAATGAACAGAGGTACATCCGACCATGTTGTCCTTACTGGTACCCATATACTACTGAATTAACAGAGGTACATCAGATTATGTTGTCCTTACTAGTACCCATATACTAATGAATGAACAGAGGTACATCCGACCATGTTGTCATTAATAGTACCCATATACTACTGAATGAACAGAGGTACATCCGACCATGTTGTCCTTACTGGTACCCATATACTACTGAATGAACAGACGTACATCCGACCATGTTGTCCATAGTAGTAACCATTTACTGCTATATGAACAGAGGTACATCCGACTATGTTGTCCTTACTGGTGCCCATATACTACTGAATGAACAGAGGTACATCCGACCATGTTGTCCTTACTGGTACCCATATACTACTGAATGAACAGAGGTACATCCGACCACGTTGTCATTACTGGTACCCATATACTACTGAATGAAGAAGCGTACATCCGACCATGTTGTCATTACTAGTACCCATATACTACTGAATGAACAGAGGTACATCCGATTATATTGTCCTTACTGGTACCCATATACTACTGAATTAACAGAGGTACATCCGACCATGTTGTCATTACTGGTACCCATATACTTCTGAATGAACAGAGGTACATCCGATTATATTGTCCTTACTGGTACACATATACTACTGAATGAACAGAGGTACATACGACCATGTTGTCATTACTAGTACCCATATACTACTGAATGAACAGAGGTACATACGACCATGTTGTCATTAATAGTACCCATATACTACTGAATGAACAGAGGTACATCCGATTATGTTGTCATCACTGGTACCCATATACTACTGAATTAACAGAGGTACATCCGACCATGTTGTCATTACTAGTACCCTTATAACTACTGAATGAACAGAGGTACATCCGACCATGTTGTCATTACTGGTACCCATATACTACTGAATGAACAGAGGTACATCCGACTATGTTGTCCTTACTGGTACCCATATACTACTGAATGAAACGAGGTACATCCGACCATGTTGTCCTTACTGGTACCCATATACTACTGAATGAACAGAGGTACATCAGATTATGTTGTCCTTACTAGTACCCATATACTAATGAATGAACAGAGGTACATCCGACCATGTTGTCATTACTAGTACCCATATACTACTGAATGAACAGAGGTACATCCGACTATGTTGTAATTACTGGTACCCATATACTACTGAATGAACAGAGGTACATCCGACCATGTTGTCCTTACTGGTACCCATATACTACTGAATTAACAGAGGTACATCAGATTATGTTGTCCTTACTAGTACCCATATACTAATGAATGAA